AAATGGCACGAGCCATACAAGAGTTTAATGGGACAAACTCACATCTAAGATCACCGCTATCAAAAATAAACTTTTGTAGATTGAAATGATTACTTTTACTATTTTATTATTCTTTAAATTAATAAAAATGAATCGCCGAAATGTTTGTGCGGGTATAACTTTAGAACGACTGGACTAAATTAGATAATACTCTTTTGTTGTATTTGTTATTATCAGGAGAAGGTTTGTGCAGAAGATAATTTTCAAAAAATTGTTTGGAAAGACCTTAAAAACAGTTTTTCTGCAATTTTAAATCAGAATATAACGAATAGATGGCGCCATACTATGACTAACAAAGGAAACTTATTGATGATGTTATATGACTAACAAATGTCATCCTGGTGCATAAGTCGTGGACTAATACGTACCCTGATGCGCATCGCCCCTTAAAACTTCTTTCAATTTTACTATTGGCCGAGAGATCTGAAAATGCCATATAAATATAATTATGCATACATTTTCTGCTCTCGGTTCCCAAATAGGGTCCCTGTACCCTGGTAGTCCGATGTCGGGGCTCTGCTCCGGTTTTACTACCGTTAGACTCTGTGGCTGGACCTTCTCCACCTGCTACTCCTGTGGTGTTATTTACTTCCTGTGTAAGAATGCTACTTACCAACTATCAAGATTGAAGATACGCAGAAGATTCTTCGAATAGTCTGGTCGAAGACCTTCTGTAAGGCACCGTGGGAGTGTATAAGTGCCCATACTTTGACAAACCCTTACATCCCATATGGTGATACAAAGTAACAAAATAAATCTAAACTTATTGAAAACGTATTTTATATCACCTTTAAACAAAATCACTTTTATTTTGACATACACAGTTGTGCAGTACTGTGTTTAAAGAAAATAACCGCATTTAAATTAAATACAGACCAGAGAACTTTTATTTAAAGATCCCATATTTTGACGAAACCTCTCAAATTACGTGTGGAAAAAAAATTATACATAATTTGTTGTAAACCATCAAGACTTATTTTAAACTTCAATTGTGGCTTATTCCCATTAAAATAGTAACTACCTTAAGATGCCACAAGATAATAGCTTCAGAACAATACCGATAACAACAACTCTATTTCTTCATCATTTTCGCCAGCGAAACTAGCTATATTTAATGGTTCTCTAATGTAAGGTGAGTATTATGGATTATAGTATTCTTTAAATAAAAATTTTAATTAGTTTCTCCGTTTTACTCTGTTCAGTGATCTTATTTTAATTTTTAATCTTGCATTAGGTATATATATGTATAAGTAACAAATAAGATCTTATAGGCAATTATAGGTAATTTTAATATTATATCAAAATATTTAATGTCATTTGTCAAATAAAATGTTAGCAATAACATTTCTTTAAAATGCAATAGCAATAACTCTCTTTTAGAAATGGAGTATTTTGTACTTTATTAAAGTAGTAATAAAGGCGGCTGTCATCTTTTAGCTGTTCACCTGATGAATGGACAACGACTTTATTTCACGAAAGAAAACGCAACGCAAAGAACTGAACAATATAAAATAGAGTAAAATATAGTAGAATAAAATAAAACAAATTTGAATAAAATGGAATAAAGGAAAAAAAAAGTAGAATAAAATAATATAAAGTAAAATTAAATTAGATTAATTTAAATTAATAAAATGAAATGAGGTTAAATAAAGTAAAATAAAATTAAATAACAATAAAATAAAGTCGAATAAAATGGAGTAAAGTAGAATAAAATATAATAAAATAGAAGATATTTGGTCCGTGTTTGATTTTATTTTATTTTGTTATCAAGGCATAGTTTTTTATGTAGGTTAGGATCCAAGGCTCTAGCTCAAGGGCCGCCAATGCAACACACCAAGAATGCATGGAATGGATTTCGGACATTCTTTTATACGGTGACAGTATAAAAACATGTTCTGTTAAATACATGTATAGTTTCGTCAAAACGTTATCTTTGGTTATCGGACTTTTATTTTCTATCCAATGTCTCAATAGGAAATTCATCAGTTTTCAGTAAAACAGCTTTTATTTTCTGGACGATATATAAACAAATATTCTACATACGATATATACAAACTGGATGGAACGTATCGAATCTAGTGCTTTACCATTATAAAAAGGAGACTTTGTATAATACAAAGATTAGCATTCTTTAAATGTTCTGTCTGAACATGAACTCAACATGTAGTGTTATAGACTAGAATCCTTCTTCTTCTTAACGTGCCCTATCAAGTCCCCTTGACGTTGGCGATTAACATGGCGAAACTGTCTCTGTCTCGGGCTATTCTAAAGAGTTGCTCAGCTTTCCTCATTCCTGTCCACTCCCTGATATTCTTCAATCAAGAGGCCTGCTTTCTACCAATTCCTTTGCGCCCTTCGATTTTACCCATCATAATAAGTTGAAGAATATTATATCGGTCTCCCCTTACTACGTGTCCAAAATAGGCCATCTTTCTACATTTGATGTTATCAAGCAGCTCGCGAGCAGCATTTGCTCTCTCAAGGACTGCCACATTTGTCAGCATAGCCGACCATGGAATTTTTAGTATACGTCTGTGCAGCCACATTTCAAAGGCCTCCAGACGATTAATGGTGGATATTTTTAATGTCCATGCTTCGACACCGTATAAGAGGACTGACCAAATGTAACATTTAACCATGCGCTTTCGAAGTTGAAGTTGCAAGTTATCATTACAGAAGAATGACCTCATTTTTAAAAACGTCGTGCGGGCTATCTCGATTCTACATTTTATCCCTTGATCTCTATCTAGTTGTTCAGTAATATGGCAACCAAGATAATTAAAACTGGACACTCTTTGAATTATATGACCATCAACATATAATCGTGCATTTTGATGTGCTAAACACCATGTGTTTGGTTTTTGAACAGTTTATGTTTAGGCCAAACTCTCTTCCCACTGTATTAATGGCATTTAATAGGCATTGTAGTCCATTCCTGTCATCACTTAAAATAACTGCATCATCTGCATATCTGATTGTATTTATCAGAATTCCATTAACTTTCACGCCCCATTCCAAATTATGCAGCGCTTCTTTAAATATTCTATCTGAATATAAATTAAATAACAGTGGGGATAGTATACAACCCTGTCTGACACCTCTTTGTATTTTACATATTTCTGTTGATTTTCCGTTTATGTAAGCTGTCGCTGTTTGACGCCAATATAAATTTTCTATGAATCGTATGTCTTGACTATCAACTCCTTTATCTTTTACTATTGTAATTAATTTGTGATGCTGCACTCGATCAAAGGCCTTTTCATAGTCAATAAATACAGCAAAGACGTCTTTCCTTTGATCTCGACATCGCTGCAGTAATACATTTAGTGCAAAGAGGGCGTCCCGAGTTCCCAGTCCATTTCTGAAGCCAAATTGTGTTTCATCCTGGTCTTCTTCACATTTATCTTTGATTCTACTGTGGATGATGCGCAGAAATATTTTCAAAGTGTGGCTCATAAGGCTTATCATTCTATAATAGCTACAGTTATTCGTCCGTTGTTTTTTTGGTAGTGTTATGAATTTGGACTTTAACCAATCTTCAGGGATATCACCAGTCGAATAAACATCATTGAAAAGCTTGACTAGTATTTCAATGTTCTCCTCATTTATAAGCTTTAACATCTTTGTCGGTATGTTATCAGGGCCAACGGCTTTCTTGTTCTTTGCTAACTTTATAGCATGCAGTATTTCTGATTTTAGTATTTCTGGTCCTTCACCTTCAACTAAAGTCTCCAGTTCTTCGGGTCTATCATCATTATACAGTTCACTTATATAATAACACCAGGTTGTTCGAATTTCATGTTCGTCTATTATCATTTTTCCCGATGAATCGGTTATAGTATGTGGAGTTTTCTTATGATAAAGACCAGCTACTTCTCTAACTTTTTTAAACATATTAAACGTATCATGTTTTTCATTTAACTTTTCTATTTCCTTGCATTTATCCTCCATCCATTTTTCTTTAGCCACCTTTATTTTTTGTTTAATTAGTTTCTGTTTTTCCTTATATTCTGTCTTGTTACCTTTCAGTTTCCTTCTCTGCTCCATTAATTCCAGGATTTCATCAGTCATCCATTGTTGTTTTTTGTGCCTGTGTAACGTTGTTGAATATTTTTCTATTACTTTCAAGGTAAGATCTTTAAATGTGTTCCATATTTCTGTGTTGTTTTCATTTATTGGTTTCTTTAGCTCATTGTTTAAGTCATTTTCTATTAACGTTTTGTTGGATATTGAGATATTTAATTTTGGTGTTTTGGGGCTTTCTTGGACTTTTTTAAGCTTCACTTTGATGTCAGTTATTACAGGGTTATGGTCTGAACCGATATCTGCACCAGGATATGTCGTTACTCTGGTGACGCCATTCTTAAATCTCTTGTTTACCAGAATATAGTCTATCTGATTTCTAATCATATGTAGTGAATTATCTCCTGGTCTCCTCCATGTGTATAACCTTCTTTTGTGTAATTTAAACCATGTATTTGCGATTATCATGTCATGTTCTTGACAGAACTGGTATAATCTATCGCCTCTTTCATTGCTCTCCCCTAGTCCATATTCACCTACTAGGTCAGATCTTCGGCCTTGGCCAATTTTTGCGTTAAAATCTCAATGATTCAACATCATTGTCGTATTTCTTTTCTGCAGTAGGGGCATATATCTGGATAACATTGACATTAAATGGTTTGCTATTTAATTGGAGTATTGCTAGTCTGTCGTTCACTGGTATAAAATTTTTCACATATTTCTTAAATTTAGACGTTATAAATATGCTATAGAATCCGAATTTGGCGAGGCTAGAATCCTTAGCCTCGCCAAATCCAGTTCCCCAGGATACAAACGAGTTGTACGTAAGTAAAAGACAGCTTAACACGTTAATCACATGTGGTCTGGCTTAAAGGAAATGAAAGGATTAGAAAGTTTTTTGTTTACAAACAATATTTCTGTTAAAACTAAAGACTGTATTAAAAAATGAAAAATTATATTCATCAGTAAAATAAAGTTTATGTACAAGTATTTACAACAATAATTAAAGATTTAATATTTATAATAAACATTATGAGACAAAGTGTAAAAAGTATCACGTTTCTATCAACATTATGCAAACACTTTTTTGTCTATTTGCTGCCGTAATAAAACAATACTATTGTACAATTTAATAGCGGGACCAACTTTAATTTTTAATATCGATACGATATCAGTTGGAGTAAGTGACAAGAAGGCTTCCCCGTCGATTTTTTCCTTGCGCAGCATTTCATGATCTATATTGCAGTCAGGCAACTTCGTTACGAAATGAATCACCTCTTTGCTGGTCCAAAACCGAGGATCGAAATCAACTTTCGTGTATCTGTGCAAAAATTCGGAATGTTTTGACCACGATTCTTTCTCTGCTGGTAAAATACTGGAATCTTCGATGAGGCTGAGAGCTTTCCATTTTTGTTCTGAGCTTGTCTGGTTAGGCTCTGTTTTGATTTCGGTCTTAATTTTCTTACATGGTTTCTTTTCAGGGGGCTCATCATCCTCTTCTTCTATGGATTCCGTTTTGGGTTCCGGTCGACAATTCTTTGGAGGTCGACCTACTCGAGGTTTACTAAAATAAAAATAAAACAGGTTATAGTATAGATTAAAATAAAAGCTATATTATATTTATTGTAATATTAATTATAACTGAAAGGGAAATTGACAAATTGTAATATTACCTGTTTTATAAGATATAAAACAGATGAATTATTTATGTTTCTAGAGGTATTAGGATTTCCCCCGATAGTTGCGGAAGGCAAGGAAAATGAAACGAAATAAACGCAGTAAGAGATACTTCAAACCAAATATAAATAGGCCTAGAACAAGTAGCTAGGGTATGGAAAGAATATTATGAGAAAAAATTTGATACCGAAGTGATAAAAGAAGACAATATAATCAATGAAGGCGAAGAAAACACAGAGCTAAACCACATTCATTTTACAAATTCCCATCTGTAAACATAAGCACATGGAAGCCAAACAGGGACGTACTGAGGTATATTATATGATTTTTAAAAATATTTACTTTTGAAACTATAGTGCAAGAATATCTTGAAATTTAATCAATATGAGCTAAATTTAATGTTCCATTGAAGAAAAATATGCTAAATAAAATATTCATTAACTGAGAGATACATAACAAAGTGAACATTTTGAATTAAGTAACATTGTCATAAAATTATCAAAGCATAAAAACATACCTTGCAATGATTAATTTAAGACACCCATCATAACCAAATTTATATTTGGCATTTAACATAAGCTTAATGTTTGCAATGAACGTTCTCTCACAGAGATGCTTAGACATGAACCAAGAAATTTACGCCTGCTTTATTGATGCTATATTGGAATCAAACAGCAAATGTCAAGATTGAGGGCAGACTAACAGAAGAAATTCAAATCCGTCGAGGAGTCCGGCAGGGATGTATCTTATCGCCACTTTTATTTAATCTGTATAGTGAAGCTATCTGTGAACAAGCACTCAAGGAAGAAGATCTTGGTCTGATAATAAATGGTGAGACGATCAACAATATAAGGTATGGTGACGATACAGTTCTCCTAACGGGAACGCTAGCAGAACTACAACATCTCGTTCAAAGTCTCAATATATACTGTAACAGTTACGGCTTGAAAATTAATTTGAAAAAAACTAAATTTATGGTAATCACGAAATCAAAGAACACCAGAGCTAATCTTGTAATAGACAATACAACGATTGAGCGTGTGCCCTGTTATAAATATCTAGGTGCTTGGATCACAGACGATACTGATCAAACAAAAGAGATTAGATGTAGAATAGAAATCGCTAGATCAGTCTTTAATAGAATGCGCAAACTCTTTTGCAATCGTGATATCAATATAAAGTTACGAATACGAATGCTGCGGTGTTATGTCTTTTCTACCCTGTTATATGGAGTTGAGGCTTGGACACTAAAACAGTTGACAATAAAAAATATCGAAGCTTTCGAGATGTGGTGCTATAGGCGCATTCTCAGAATATCATGGATGGACCGCGTCACTAACACGCAAGTGCTCCAGACTCTGAACAAAAGATGCGAAATTCTAAATGAGATTAAAACTAGAAAGATGGAATACTTGGGGCACATTGTGAGAGGTGAAAAGTACGAACTTTTAAGAAACATCATGCAGGGCAAAATTAAGGGCAAAAGAAGTGTGGGAAGAAGAAAAATATCGTGGCTTCGTAATCTACGTGAATGGTTCGGATGTAGTTCGATTGAACTTTTCAGGCGCGCTGCTAACAAAGTCGCAGTGGCCATGATGATTTCCAATCTCCGCTAGGAGTGGCACGAGAAGAAGAATAAGCTTAAATGATGCCAGAGTTGACATATCTTCAGTTTTTTCATACTCTCAAATAATATTATAGAAATGTATTAAAATTATATAAAAATTCATAGATTTTAAATAAATTAAAGATAATAATTAAATGCATATACAATAAAATTGATTAAAATGATATAAAAAATTAATAGTATTAATTAAATTACCGTATATGATAGATCGGCACAATATCACTTTTTTTACCGTTATCTATGTATATGCCAAATTTCATGTCAATCCAAGCGGTTCTTTAATATTTACAGCAAAAACCGTGAATAAATAGACTAAAAAGGAAATAAAAATAAAATAACACACAATATATTAACCTAAAAAGCAACACGCTACAATTTGAATTTAGACACACCGGCAAGTTAGGATCTGTAACATGAGAATCCGTCTGGCTTAAGGCAATAAATTATATGTAATAGCCTCTTGACGAATGAGAAGGCGAATATCAACACGTGGCACAGTGGTCGAAAATTCAAATTTAGGAGGACATGTTGATTTCGGTTTGATATATTTTTTAAGGCAATTTATTAAGAACAAGTAACGGTCGCAAATTGTTAAGATAAGATCACGAAAATAGTTAATATTAATGTCGTTAAATTATACAGGGTGTTACATAATTATTGTTATATTTAGCCGGCCGCAAATAAGGGTAATATATATTACAATAAAAAGGAACTTATTCTTTATTTTTCTTAGAAAATTGTTTTCAATACTTCACTTAAAACAAATCACAGAATTCCAACAAAAATTAATAAAATACAATTATTAAAAAACCCAAAGTAATAGCGAATTATCAAAAAATTTAAAATAGTTTACCAAGCGTGCATATATAGAGTCCAAAAAAAATAGTAACATTATTAATAAAAATTTACATTACTCAAAATCCTCATTATCACTGTCGGAGCTACTACAGCATGAAGTATCCGAATCCTCTTCTTTTACTGACATTGAAGGTGTTTGAGGACTAATTTCCGGTGCACGAAGTAAGCCCAAAACTTCTTTAGATAGACGATTTACTTTTCTTTTCGGCAATGGCCTTAAATGTGAAATAACCATATCTGAAGATAATAATAAAGCATGAAGAAGGTCTTCTATATTTTCTTTTCTTCCGATCTTGCGCGTGTTATGTTGTCGATAATAACGGCACTCCTTATGTCTTGCTTCTAAAGCTTCTTCGCTTAACTGACCAATAGGAAGTAAAAGAGTATCAATCACGTCAGTTCCATGTATTAATATTTTATGGACACTAGCTGGCATCTTATACCACTCGTATAATTTCACAAAATGTTCGGCAGTTTTCAGAGTATATTCTCTAAAATTTTCGCTATTTAACTGATAACCACATGATATAGCTTGTAAAATGGTTGCAAATCTCCTAATTAAAGTTTCGTCTACGTTTGTAATTTGAGCGGATTTCTCAGGGTCTTTAAAGAATTTTCTGGCAGTGTTACCATCATTGGTATTACCACTACCCTGCTTAATTGTATCTATGAGAAGTCCAGTTTCTTGCCGAAATTTTGATATTATTTCTTTCTTTTTTGCTTCACAAATGGCTTTATTTTGGACACCTCTAACCTGCCATGTTTTTATATCTAGTCGGTAAGCAATATGCAAAATGCATTCAAAGAATCTAATATGTGCATGCAGCGTCGACAGACCATACTGAAAAGTAGAGAAATTACAAGGTTTTTTTAAAACTGCTCTTAAATTGTTCATATCTTTTGGTTTAGTTTTGCAAATATAGCAGCTCTGTGTGGACGGATTTTCTGCTAGAGCATTGGCCACTTTTCCATCCAACATAGTTTTTAATAACGTATGCTGGACAGTAACAATTTCTTCTTGAACATTTACAATTGTTGGTAAGAGCGAAGCTATTTGTTCCTCGACATAATTATTTTCTCGCATTATTATATCATGTGTTTCTTTTATGAATTCGAATTTAATAGGTACACAAAATCGAGTAGATGATGAACGTGGATTAAGCCATACAATCTCTTCTGACTCAAACTGTTGTGTTGTTAACTTAAGTGGCACTATCGATGTTAACAGCAAGTCTGAATCTACTAAATCACAACTTTCCTGAAATTTCTGTTTGTACATCGAATGATTTGAACTTCCATCAAACCCCCATTTATAAGTCATGTGAAAAACTGTAATACCTTTTTCACTTATAACTTGGGAAAATACTTCTTCCTGGACGACAGCTAAACGACGAACAATGTGATCAAGGAGACATTGTAATTTAATCTCCCCCTTAGTCTCTGTTACATTTATGCCTTCCGGATAACACTCTTTTTTTGCTTTTAGTACATCATCATAAGAAGGATATAAATCACAATTATTATTCTTTGCACTTTTTTTCAATTTTAAATACTGTGATTTGGTCAATTTAGCATCAACTATGAGAGCAAGGGCTTCTTCAGCTGTATATTTTTTAACCAGACTTGTTGATCCGCGCACACTTTTTAACCTTTTTAGTGACTGAGGACTGGAAATTGTAGCCTTTTTTATAACATAAGCCAAATTTCTTTTGCCTGATTTTATAAAACTAGTCCTTGATGCAAAATTAAGCTCTTCTACGCTATAGTTTGACACCAATTTTTTTGTACGTCTCCTTTTGGATCTAGTGCTTAGTGTATCAAAGCCTTTCATAGGCCTTAATTTTCTTTTAGGTGTACAAACAAACTCACTCGGTTGTGGTTCGACAGTATTATGTATTAAATGATTCAGCCAGTCCTCATTCTGCTTCAAAAAATTTTTCTTATTTTTCCCACTAGCCTTCCAACGAACCAGGAGATTGTTAGAAAACCATGAAATTTTGTTTAAAATGACTTCTTCAGGAATGTCTGGTATTCTATGATTTACATAGTCAAGCATTTTTTTCCTTGAAGCAGCTGTAGTTGCCCGAGATAACAAAGAATTATCTGAAAGAAGTTCGAATAAATTCAACCTCGTCACGTCTCGGTGAATACCTAAAAACACAAAAAAAAATATTAAACAACTTCCGATGCACTCCGACCCTACAGATTTTGTGTATACAAAGATAAATGATGAATAAACAATATAATTAAAAATTAGAATAAAACTAAATAAACTTTTTTTTCTTTTGACTATCAAATTTCAACAAATAAAAAGATAACTATTGTTTTTCTCTACTTCTAATAAATCCAATTTTACTATGAATAAAATACTTTTTTATACGAGCATCATAAATAATACTAAC